TCACAGACGTAGGTAAACATAATAATATCATAGTCGAATAAAACGAATAACAATTTTATTCGTATCGTCTGTAGAATATTATACAAAAGCTAAGCTTTACAGGGAACCATATTATTATGTCCAAATGATTTATTTATTACGGATATGCGTATTGGGTCGTTTTCGGTTGTACCTACCTACCTGCATGAGTAAAGATATTTAAAAAAAAAAATTAATAGGAGTTATTTATAAACATAATATAACTATATCAAAATATATTATAATATATATTTATACGTACTTCAGTCGTATATTGGAGCCTGGAGAAAACACGCGACAGAGTATAATACTGTTTGGTTTCACAAGGGTTAGACGCATCCAACGTGCACCACAATAGTCGTATATGTTACTGATTAAAATTAATTTCTTAACTTATTATAACCTTTTTTACATGTCATGTCGTATCTATAATATTTCATACACTACTTGATCAATTATGCTAGTACCAACAAATGTCTAGTATGATTTTAATAATACAGCACATTTAACATAATATATAAACAATTTACCTATTATAAATTATTTTTTGACGAAAATACAACTATAGGCATTGTTATTGTTATTTCACACACTACCAATAATACGACATATTTGCAAGGAGGTACTTAATTAAATATGGCTTAGTTTTAAGAATCTGAGCGGAACGATAAATGATAAATTGATTTTACATTGATGTGTGTTTTTATTTTTCACGAATATTATATTATTGATAAATATTCTGATGTTCATAATTTACTAGACGATCGCTAATTCCAAACTATTATCTCGTTAAAAAATGTATGACGGCCCTGCAGGGTGATTAGTACCTACAATATTGATGATACATTTTCAAGTTTAGTTTTATGTCTTTTTTTTTTTGGGGGGGGGGGGGGGGTTACTGTTCGTTTTTATAGTACCTAACATAGTAGTGCGAGACAGCAGGTAAAAATAAAAACAAAATTATAATATTAAGTATTGTAATGTTTTATTGTGGTGGGAGAAGTGATTGAGAAATATGTGTAGGTTCTTGTATCATTTTTTTAACAATATAATTTAGATATAAAATATATTGGATGCAGTTGAAAACAATAATACAAAAATAATGGTGACACGGCGTCCTGGTTAGGCAATTTAGCTACACTATGTCCATGGTCGCTGGTCCATCGTTAAGACTAGTGATGGACAACGATATAATTAATAATTTAGTGTATCGATATCGTTCCGATTTTTCCGATATTGTTCTAACGATATCGTATTGAAAATATCGATAGTTCACATTTTAAATAATATTACCTATTTATTAGGTGCCTACTTATTAGTTATTGGTTATTAATTAGTAATTACTAAAATTCATAATTAATTTAAATAAATTAATATTAATATTAAATACATTATTATTAATTATTGCTTGGCTAATTTAAGATAAGAAAAAAACCTAGTTCCCGATGTATAAAACAATATTGATATAGAAAATTTGTCACGAATCACGATATCGATATTGTTGCCCATCACTACTTACAACACAGTTTTTTTGACTTTGTACAAGATTATTCGTCTATCCTATGATCAACACCCATCATGTGTATAATACTCATTTCAGCTTCACTAGCATACCGTAGACTTGAAATGAGGTATACCATAATCCGAGCCTATACCATAAATCATAATAATATAATAGTAGTAATAATACGCATAATATTAAATACTCATTATTATCATAATATATATATTGTTGTATTGATCTTATGTAACATTATAATTTTATAGTACAAAAAGAAAATTGCTGGTCATCAAAGCTACTATCGTATTATATAGTAGGTACCTAATGTATGGAAATATTATGACACAAAATATATACCTATACTGTTGTCTGTTAATATAAATTATAGTAATATAATTTATTACATTATTTGGTTAAGACAGGCAGGCTGAATGAAAAATAAAGTAAAACAATAACACGCTATATCGGTGTGTGATAAATGATAATTCATAAATGGGTCTATTATTATTATTATTATTATTATTATATTAAAATATGATTGTTACGCTTAGATTGTTTTATCTTTTGTCCCGCCGTGGGAAAATATAGATGGACCAATCAAAGCACTCACTGTGCTGTTATTGTTACCACGATTATATTTGGCGGATAACTAAAATTATAAATCAATTTTTGCCCTTCTCAAAACATTTAGTAGCATACGACAATGACCTGAAATAATTAGCATTAATCGGTAAATAGGTCATGATAAAAAATGACCCATCGATATAATTACAAAATTTTAAATTATAAAATATTTTAAATAATATATTTTAAATATTTTAACCTACTAATATTGTTTTACTTAAATTGTACCCAATGATCAGTATTTCTATTCCGAGTGACTTTTTCACGAGCATTTAATATATAATGTATCCAGTACCTCTCCACTTGGCCATTCCATAAACATTTAGTATACATCTATCACAAGTATCTATAATAGTATCAATATCCTTTGAATTACCCAAATTAATGTAGGTATCTACGGATCTCTGTTTGTTATAATAACGAATAACCTTTGAGGGTTATAATTTATAATATAGATATTATTTAATAGGTATATTATTGCCTCTATGTAAAGATCTCAATAAAAAAACTGAAGCTAAATTACAAACACATTTTTAATATTTATAATTAATTTGATCATATACAGCATCAATTATATAGACTATTATATTACTGAATCACGTGGTTTGATGACTTTTTTATTAAGTAGTGTATAATTTCCTCAAACGTAGTGTTGCAATTATAGTAGGTAATCATCAGTATAATTAATGAAAAAATTGACTTTACTCCTCAACTGTATAAGTACTTGGGAACTGTATACAAATTTCTAATTCAATTTAAATATTGTTTTTTTTTTTTTATTATTATAAATTATTTTAGTTCATTAAAACACTCAGCTATTGTTATTTTACTGTTTTGCACATTGCTGTCTTTGAATAATTCTTGACACGGACGTCAAAAACTTCCCTTATTTACAAGTTTCTAGCTGCATTGTCCATTTGTATAAGTCATTAAAAATATCATGCATATGTTTAAATATTTCAAAAAACAATTATGGTAATATTGGTTGGTAAAAATAGATTTTTTCTGTCATCTTTTATTATTTAACTATATTATACTTAAATGTACTTCACTCCAAAATAACATTAGTGCATAATTTAGAGTTATTTAAAGTTTTTATTAATAAATTTACTTTACCCACACTTTTTTTTACATTTTTTCTCCTATAACGAACTGAAGCGAAAAAATCTAATAACGAGATTACTTTTCCAATTACAAGTTTCCAGGCCATGTATTTTCGTGCAGTTGTATATTCAAAAGACAACAATCCAACAAATTAATAATCAACTTATTAAAAAAGTTTTTGAACAGACATTCAAACGACAGTAAAAAATAAACAAAATAGACTATATTATATAGGTACGCTTTATTCTTATTGCCACTTATTTCTAAACTTAACATATTTTAATTTAAGCAATTTACTTGTTTTTATAAGTTTTATATAAAATAAAACATGTATGATGATTTAAACAATACTTACTACATTTTAAACTTCTTTGATAAAAGAATATTAATTGTGTATCTCAATGGCCAAACTAAACAACTCCATCCATTATGCATGATGCTGATGATTAAATTTATTTAGGTATTGATTTTATAAATTCAATTCAATAACCTTAGTATAAGGGAACAAAAAAAATTATTCTACAATATATTGTGTGTCTTACCAACAAAAAATATTTTATGCGTCTTAAATTTATTTTTGGGAAATATAAATAAGACAATATGAGAAATGATAAATGATACTTGATATTATGACATAGATAGTTTTTAGATTTATATATATCTTAAAAACTGTGTATACTTTGTAGATTTATTGTTAGTAATTATGATACTAAAAGTTTCCTACAGTTTTTGAAGAAAGGACTGAAAGGGTGTCAAATTGCCAAAATTATCGAGGTAAATTTAAGCATTACCAACCAAAAACTTGTTAAAACTTAAAGCTCGTGAAAAACGATACGGTTTTATACTTTAAAAAATAATTTATTATTATAATTATAAATTTATATCGACATAGACGCGTTTAATAAAGTGCGTTTGTTTATAAATTTTTTTTTACTTCATAATTGTACCAAATGTATATTTCAATGAATGCCTAGGCTGAAGCGCAAGTGTAAGTAAGTCAAAGTTTCACTGAAAGTTTGTTTTAAACTCTCAACGGTAGTTCAACACAAATAAACAAAATACACACTCTAAAAACCTTTTAAGATGTGCAACTCTAACTTCGTTAAACTGTCACCAAGTGGTCATTTGAAATTTGTAGTTTGAGGTTTTGTGTTGCCAATTACATATATCCAGAGTATCTGCGAGAATTCAGATAGAAATAATTGCCTTAAACTTTATTTAAAGGTATAACTTGTGTTATAGAAACAGTAACCATTATCAAATACTTAATAGACAATCACAAAATGTAGGATTTCTTAAGATCAATTTCTTTTTACGTAGAAGTAAATAGTAGACTAGCTTATATTATGTTTAATGGAATCAAATTAATTATTTTTAAATTCGTTTTTAGTATGTGAGTTAGATCATTAAAACCACCTAATTCGTTCTATTTAATTAATTAATAAAATGTTTTTTTTATTTTTTTCCGTTGCATTTATCTTACACAAATAAAAATCTAATTGTGAAAAGGTAAAACTTATTATAAGGCGATACTATTTTTAAATTGTTTATGTTAGTTATAACTACTTTAATGGTGGAGCTAGAATAATTGTACACCACGTTTAATATTGTATAAGTATTGTCTTGTTTATTGACCATAACTAGAATACAATTTACGTTCTAAATATCTGAGATGTATCCTATAATACCCGATAATATATTATATTAAATTGTCTCAAAAATATTAACAATTCATTTTTTGGTTTGTTCGCAGAGAAGTTTGGGTGCGGTGGAAGAGCACCAGAGAATGCGCAACTACCTGTTGCGCATCGAGAGGGAAGGAGTCCAAAAGGTTAAGATGTTCGTGGTCATCACTGCGGCGTATGTGATCTTCTGGGGACCACTATTTTTCGTCACGTTGGTACAACATCCGTTATCCGGCAATCGTTCCGACTACGAGGTAAGCTGATTTAAATATATTTATTTTACATACTGCAGGGCACGTCCGTGAATTTCGTGAGAAAACTAAAATGTAGAGGTCGAATCACGTACCACATAATATATCCTACTTTCACGAAAAGGTTGCTAATTATTTTATTTTGTACCTCTGGACAACAAATTATGCATCCGGCACTGTCTGTGTACCTTCGTAAATGCTGTTCGATTTAGTCGTATTTGTTTATTTAAAGCCAGTGATTCTGATAATTTCATGCCAATCAGATATTATATTATACTTCCTACTGATATAGCACATTCACTAAAAAACAATTCTTCGATCATCGCGTGCATACGTACCAACCCTTAAGTATAAAAGAGAAAATTAGTTTATTTGTGTAGGTATAATTTATACTTCAAAAAAACAAAATAATAGGTAGTTGGGAATAAAAAATGATTAGAATAATAATATAACAAAACCATTTAGGATAATAAAAATGATGTTTCTTGTGCATATCATTCGAAATATTCAAAATATCTTTACATTTTTTATATATGAATAAATACCTAATAACAATAGGTAGGTACATAGCTCATGTGTAAGCCTTCTGTCAATCTATTGACCATACGTACCTACCAGTTGTGCAAAAAAATTATTTTGCTATACTTTCAGTCTCATATTTATTCCAAGCCTGAGAACTTGGGAAGGAAAAGATAAGAATTTACTATAACACTGTTAGGTTTTTTAATATTACATTATGGAGTGCAGCTCAAATAGACCCTTTTAAAGTAGGTATATGGCATGCAACTCGACCAGACCCTTTTAACGGTAAAAATGCATTCGGACGATTCTTTTTTCTCGGCTTATAAATTTACTCCGTCCATATTAAATCATAATTCATTTTAAATTACACCGTATAATATAATACAACAATTAAAATTCAAGTATGAAATACTATTTTAAATGATTATTATTTCATAGTAATATTTCGTTCGCGAGAAGCACCTTCTCTCGACGCACACAAAAAAAAACCATCCCTACAACTCCTCTATTGCGATTAAACAACATCGATGCTAGACTTTCCGCCGTTTTACTATAACTATATAATCATCATCGCCATCATCTTTGCACCATCGTCATTATCATCATCATTATGTATCCTACCTCAACTCCCTCTCGTTCGAGACATTCATTTCCAGGCGAAAACCACACGTCACACACTGTAAAACAATATTGTTTGTTTATGTACGTTTGAAATATATATTTTATATATATATATATTGTAATACTTTGTACATGCACACATTGGTATTATAGTTCCATATTATTATATTATTTAATGACCTGTGAAGTTTTGGTGAAATGAGATTGAGCTAACCTGAGCGAGGAAAACTGGAAATACTTCGAGTACGGTCTAAGACTATAAATCTGTATAGGTACGATATTGTGTAAATAATATTGTAATAATACCATACTATAGATTTTTGACTAACTTAAAATATACTATGGTAAACCCAAACTTTCCGAATAACGATTAATTAAACAAAAACAAAAAAAAAATGGTAAATTAAAACAAATGAATTCTTATAATGTTCATAAATAAAATTCTAATTTTAATGATAGCAGCGTACTTGTATTTAAGTTTTATATAAGGCTGTAATATATATATATGTAATATGTAACGTCACGCACCACATAATACTGTTATAGTTATACATCTGTCGTGAAAAATAATTCATCATTTTCGAAACAGATAAGTTTGAGTTTATAAGACATTTTTTTGATGTTTATTATTGATCAAGAATACAATAATTTGGCTTTGGTGATTGAGCCTTCACATAATTTATAATTTAGTAGACTATTATATTTCATATTATGAATATTATACATATAATATGAAGATTAATACACGACCAGGTATACTTATGTAATATAATATAAATATTTTTCAAACACAAAAAGCGTATATAAAATCAAATTTTGTCTATAAGACAAGTAGTTGTTAAGTGTCAGACAGAGTATAATATATTGATATTATACCATCATCTACGTTCAATTTATTATTATTATGACGTATATATAGAACCATATTGTTATAAATTCGCAATGCGCTATATTGACGTACTGAAACTAAAATAAATTTCCCCCAAGAATATCAGAGGTTGGGGAATCTCAAGAGAGCGATTCACGTCCTATGCAGTATACTTATAATACGTTAATAAAACTATGGTTAACTTCATTGTTTCCAAAAAGAGGAAAATCGATTATTTCAAATTGGCTTTAATAAATACTACCACACTCACATACCGTGGTTTGGTGTATAAATATTTAATGACAATAAATAATAATAATCAGTGGCGTATTTACGGGGGGGGTCCCCGGGTCTGGACCCCCCCCAGAAAAAAATATAATATAATATAATTATTACATCGTAACTCGTATGTGTTTTTTTTATATTATAAACTTGTAGGTACCTAATATTTAGACCCCCCCCAGAAAAAATTTCAAAATACGCCACTGATAATAATAATAATAATAATAACAACAAATCTATGGGTGTAGGTGCAACATAATATTATTATGAACATTAGAAGACAGCTAAAATATTTATTTCATCAGCCATATTTTTATGGACGTACGATATTAAACATACATCGCATTCTTGTAATAATAACAATATGTTTGTTCGCTCACAAATATTTCTATTTTATGCAGTCAGTTCTCTGTTAATCAAATCTCCTTGATAGTTCTAAAAACAAATAAAACCAACTACGTACCTACGAATACTACTCAAAATATATTCTTGATCCTTTCTCTCTTAAATATAATAATAACAACAATAATAATAATAATAATAATATTTAGGTAATAATCAAGCCTGTGAATTAAATGCGATAAAATCTATTGAATATTATGCCAAACTATTACCTATTTTTTTTAGCAATATTAGCAAATATTGAAAATAATATTTTTAACAAAAGCCATTTTTATAAAGATTAATTTAAATTCGATGTCATTAAACTTTATAGCATTTATTGATTTGAACAACATTAAAATCTATAGTATGTAGAAATACATTTTTATTCATCGAAAAATGTTGTTATACCTAATTTAAACAACCTCAAAATATATTATTATTTTCACAAATACAAATAAATATTACTATTGGAATTAACTATTGGAAGTGGCTACTTGGTAATAATACAAAATATAAGGTCAGCATCCGTAGATTTTGCAAAAATACTATAATACTCATCAAAAAATATATTAAAAATGCGCTCAAATAAAAAGGTATAGAAGTATAGTACCTAGTTTGCAAAAGTAAAAATGTTTGTGAGTGGTGCACTAAAATAGTATTAACACAGATCAATTTAATACTCTTGTTCTATTCAATTTGTGGAACCTATTATAGTAAGTGGTTATATGAAAAACAATATGGTTGATCAAACTTATGCTAATATCCACTACGAAGTAACAAAGAAAAACAGCCCAACAATAATAAAATAATAGTAATTATTGATTATTAAAACTAGTATCGCCCAATGGTCTAAATGACTAAATTTGATCAGAAACACGATATGATTTCATTTTGTGATTTATTTATATGCTTAATTAAAATGAGCATTTTTCGTTTTATGTGGGAAAAAAAGATATCGATTTTACCAGCCTTAACGACAACATAATATTATGTGTACATTTTTTTTTGTTCAACTCTACAATATGACAATAATTTATCTATTTTTCCCCAACTATGTATACTGATTGAAGTAGTATACATTTGTATGTTCACAGTACGTATGTCCGCGAATTTTCCGCTTACACGAAAATATTTGCCGTATACTTACAGACCAACATTTTTTTTCCAAACCTTATTATAAAACCGAAATAATTATTTCAAGTAAAAAACAAAAATTATTAAATAAAACATTTTTTTTATTGTTTTAAATTAATTATTTACACAACTTTTCCTACTTCTCTAGTAAATTTCAGTAAAAGGTACATATTCTACAATGCGATTATGAATTAATAAAAAATAAGCAATTACAATTACAATTACAATTACAATTACAAATGTAATCAATTCTGATGCTTCAATTTCCAATTAAACATCCACAGCTGAGGCTGTGTCTGAATCGTTGTGTTTTGAAGTATCGATATCTATAACTGGAGCGTTTAATAGAAAAGTAGAAGGACTTAATATCGGGTTCTGTTTTCTGTATACTTTTTTCATAGTGCTATTCTTGAAACGATGTATATAATATTTATCATGTAAAAAGTTGAAATATTTCAGTTTTATAATGAAATTTGATGTGTATACGATAAATATTTTCGAGTAAGCGGCAAAACCGATTTTGAGTGTGCAATCTCCCTGTAAAATTCTATACGGTAAATATTTTTGTGTGAGCGACAAGTAGGTGGACAACGAGTGTGTAATTAATCTCCACGAGATGCGTGTGATACGGCGTAAAATCAGTGTGCTCTAAGCGGGACATTCTCGTTTGCAAATGGTGAAAAAAAAACAAACGTACTGTGAATATACAAATGTATACTAGTATACTACTGTTGAATTCGTTTAACGTAAGATACTCATCATTTTCAAAAACTAGTTTAGTTTTAATATTTTTTAACATGATTTAAAAAAAGGACATTTTTCAAAGAAAAAATAATTTTACTATTTTTTATTTTTATTTTTATGAAAAAATTCATTTATAATAACTCAATTCTTTATTCTAAAGCAGAATATTTTTTGGAGTACTTGGTAGTATAAAAATCGAAATTTTAATGAATAGTTTATGATATTTTGTAAGAATTTAAATTTTAGATGAGCGGAATAGAGAGGTACATATTGGATAGTGGATACCCCTTAGAATGTTGGTCCACTGTAACTCTACTAAAAATACTTATAAAGTTGTAACTAATAAACTGCTAGTCCAAAATTCGATTTACGCCTTGTCTTACGTGAATGCGGCGGCACTGTGTGAATTCTATTCTGGCCATGCTGTTCTGCCGCAGTGCGGTGCGTCCGATGCGGCGAAATAGAAGCCGTTTTGTTTTTTGCTCGCCGAATTCGAGTAGGACACTGTATTATAGTTCGAAATACTCCGAACAATATTCTGCTTACGAATATTATTTTACTTTTCCATAAATGTCGTTTATTCGTGACTTAAAATGATGTAAAAAAATTTTAAAAATTTTAGTGTTTTTTGAAATGATGCGAAAGTCTTGCGATCGCCCGGTTAATGTACAACATTAAAAGTACTTGAATATAATATTATTTAGATAATAACATTCCAATGTAGAATAACTAACGGTGTGGCACTGATTTCAATACCGTCGACAATTGTTAATACGATACCATCGACGTACTGTCGTTGCTGCAGGTGACGCTGCACGTGGCCAATGGCCATTCGTTCGTCAACGCCATGCTGTTCCTGGTGCTGCACCGGGGACTCCGGCAAGCGGCCGCCGACGCTTGCTGCACCAGCATGTCCACGGTGGCCAGGTGGCTGACGGCCGGGTGGTCGCCGGAACCGTACACGCTGGACGCATCGGTGCCGGGCATGTCGCCCGAGCCCGTGTTGGCCGCACCGCCACCACCGCCGCCCACCAGTCTGCCGGCGTACACCATTCGGCACACTTCGATGAGGGTGAGTCACAATATAATATATTATACGATGGTCATATTATTATTATTATCTATTGATATTGTCGTACCGTAGTTGCGAGAGGGTTGTGTTGGGGTCGGGTCGGGTTTGGATGGGTATGTGGCGTCATGTTGCAGGTTTGGCAGGGTGGTGTTGTGTGGATGTGTGAGGGAGTTATATACTGTATACTCGTATATACTGTAGAAAACGGAATTCAAAATGTCGAAGAGGTCGACGCAAAAGGACGTCTTGTTCGGTGTGCACTTGTGGCACTTTGACAGATTGGCCTTGACGAGCTAGCGGCGTGGGTGTGCAATAGGGTTTCTAAATGGCAGCGCCATAGGGGAATTTGCGGGGACAGGGACGAAATGATTTCTCGGGGTTTAAAAGTTCGAATATTTCCATTATATTTGTATATACCACCCATAGTAATATATATAGTATATATCGTGCAGATGCAGTATTCAATATTGTATACCCAATTTGTCATATTTTGATGTTATTATATAGATATGCTATTTATACTTCTTATTTATATACAACTCATTTATATTATATACGAATCGATATGAAAAAAAATAATAAATTAAAGTTGTATTATATAATCATTAAAGGATAAAATATGTATAATACCTTTTGACAAATGTTGGTAGATATAAAAAAATCAGAATATACTACACTATGTAAAACTCTATTCATACTAATAAGTAATAATATATGTCGGTTAATTTTATTTTTATAACTGACATTTTAGTATAATTGATTAGGCACCTATATAATTTACATTTTTTTACATTTTAATCGCTTATGATGCCAGACAACGGAGCATAGGACACATATCCCTGGTTGGCCTGAGGCTTCTCCTGAATATTGTCGTTTTATTTATAATAAATATACCAAGTAATACTGTGAGAGGAGTTTCAATCGCCCACGCCTGCTGCAGTGGCACTCCGTCGAAATGTTTATATTTTTTTTAATTCAGCTTCTATTATAATAGCGTAATATAGTAACACTATTCCTATTTCCCGAACGAAGCGCCTCGCTAGACTGAACGCGATTGGGCGTTGCGCACTTCTTAACTGCAAAAATTTGTTCACGTTTTCGAAATTTTACTTTTCCCTATATTTTAAGAAAAACCGACACGATTACGCATGACAAATATTGTAAGTTTTAAAAAAATTCATAGATTATCTAATGATATCTATAATGATTTACATACACTACTAATACTTAGTCTTTATAGGTAATATATACTTAAATGAAAATAATATGAAATATCATTAGACCCGTGTTAGCGGGATAATGAAAAGCACTAATCCCCGCCATACCGCCCTAATGCTCAATATTAGTGTTTTTAAAATATACAAAAATAAAAACTAAGATCTAATATCATATTATATAAATATGATACCCAAATTTCATATCTTTTATCAAAGTAGGTACAGAATTGTTTATAAATTTATAATATTAGGTATTTATAATAGGTTTATTAAACAATAGTATAATTACCTATTATTTATATTATACAATTTATTACAACGTGGTAGGAATTTAATAAATTATATGAGTACTATAACCTATAATCAAATTTCTTAAATTATAGTTTTTTATTTTCATAAATATAAAAAGTAAAAATAATCAACGTAGTACGTGTTGTGTTTTCTCAAATATAAAAAAGTAAAAAATGTGCATTAGTTTTGAGTGCCTTATGGGTAAAAAATGGGCGATCGTACTGTACCGTCAGTGGTCTTAATAATTATTCTTATAACAATGTCATAAGTCCTTATCATAATATGTTTATCGGCGATGGAGGTTCTCAGAGACGGATGACGAATGGACAACGGCTGGCTGGCCGGTCACCCGCACTCCTCAACTCGTGTATATACATCATATTATACGAATATGACATGTAAATGTATAACTATTATAGCACAACTACAACATAGCATAAAGCTCTACGGTGTACGAGCACCATGTGATGGATGTGGACTCGGAAGTAGATCCAGTGACGCGTGATGAGAGAGATCCGGCCAACGCGTATATTATAATAATATGTACTTACCAGTCTATGTCGTTGTAATAATATTATATTATTGTCTTCCGCGAAATTTTCACTTTGTCATCACACTCACCTCCTCGGCTCCTCCCTAAACCAACTCATCATACCTATACATTATATAATATGGTATACCGCGAACTGTAGAACCGTGAAACCTATAACCTGTATATAGGTATTATAACAGCCAAAAAACTCTATAGCCGAAACTCTAAAATAGTATTATGTTTATCGCCATTTTATTATACATTTTTTGTACGAGATAGATTCTGCATAATATTATGTAATATCGACACAACTCCGGAGTCTGAGAACTTCTAATAGGATCGCTTCGAGTTCACTCTTAAGTATAAAACAATATGGGAAGCCCGCACATAATTTGACTAAAAATTCTGAGATTAATAAGAGCTCTGCGTAGTAAATATAAGTAATATAACAATTATGTAAAACAATAGTATAACTGAACATTAATATTAAGATTATGCTGTGGTTATTCTAACTATATAGGTACACTGGATAGTTTTTAACTGTATAGGGACATCATAAACCAACATTTTAATGAAAAATTATCAAATTTAAGATTTGAGAAAGCCATAATATCATAATAATCATTTAGTATATTTTACATAATATCGTATTTTCTAGATTTATCATCAATCAAAAAGTACTAGTTTTATGTGAAATGTGTGATATTATTTAAATTTCAAACATTATAATATATATACTTATTATAATGTCTTAACATAATAATACCTTCGTGAATTTTATGCAAATCTGACCACTGAAATTAATTCATCTCTCATATATGATATGTTAGGTACCTACTAATTAGCATACGTCATATTCTCAGGGGCGTATTTACGTAGCATTTTCTCGAGGGGATGAAAAATTATGTTTTTGGATGTTCACTTTACTTATGATAACAATAACACACTCCCAATCGTAAAAGAAAATATATTTTTTTAAATTTATAATAATATAAAATAGTATAATAATATTCTTCAAAACAAAGTTATCAATAAGCTATTTTCTTCTTCTTTAAGGGGTGATAATAACGCTATGGATTGAACAATGAACACGATGATTTTATAATTTCGATCTTTATATAGTATAAAATAATTTCATCTGTTATTATGATAATCATTCAATCGCGTATCATCACTGCAATACCGCACTAATCGCAAATCTATAAATTTGTGAACACATATTTTATATTGTAGAAATTAATAAAGGTACCTACTATGTATTGTTTTAAATACGTAAGATTTACATTAGTGAGAAAAAAAATAGGTCAAAAGGGTATAATATTATATCCCCTCCATATCCTCCTCCATAAATACACACCTGCATGATCAATGTCTATGAGTTATATTATATTTTTGGATAATATAAGTATTATCTATAATATGATAAATGAATAATCTAGACACGTGGTATAATTTTTAATTTTTTAATCAATCGATTTTATTATAATTTTTCAATTATTTGATCTATTATATTTAATTTTTCAATTAATTAATTAAGTGCCTCTAATTTAATGTAATGTAATGTAATGTTGACTTGCTCCGCTAACCTTTCCCGTATCGCTGCTCCAAAAATACGTCCAGTCGAATATTTGTCGATATTGGTAACCCGCGCGCAGCAACATACTTTTTTTTTTCTATGTACCTATGTAATTAATATTAATTTTTAAAAAATTACAATTAAAATAATTAAATGATTTATCTTACGATTATGAATTAAACACCCACCAGTAGAAATTAAAGTAAATACAATTATGATAATTAAAAATATACTCAAAAAGAGATAAAATAATTTTATATTAATTTTATATTTTATACTCTGTATACAACAGAAAATATTTTATAATAAATATTATTAATGTTAGGAACTGAATTATAGTATATAGTAATAAACTTTATTTATAAAATACGTCATGGCTAGGTTAGGTTAGGTTATAATAATTTACATACAAAAAGTAATGATATCCCACTAAAAACATATTATGTAAAATGAGAGCCAAGTTCAATACTATAATATATGCCTTGGTTGTTGACTTCAACGACAAAAGAAGTGAGATCTAAATGGGTGCCAAGTTAGGATAATTATATTGAAGCCTAAAGTCTGACTTGGCTACGAATTATATTATAGCATTCGCAAGTTCTAAGGCTTTGAGTTCTTATTTTATTCTTCGGAAAATCATCTTCACTCTTCCATTACTGTTTTAGTAGGTACTTAATAATAATTCGTACCTATATGAAAACTAGCCAAGTCAGACCTTAGGCACCAATATATTATCCTAACTTGGCACCCATTTAGATCTCACTTCTTTTGTCGTTGAAGTCAACAACCAAGGCATATATTATAGTATTGAACTTGGCTCTCATTTAACATAAATATGTTTTTGGTGGGATATGTGTAAAGCCATCCCTTGTGTAATTTGTCGGGTGTTGTCGTTTTCGGATCACAGTGATGAGTTCCTATATAATGTTAATTCAATCAAATTACTACAGCAGTATAATATAGGTACCTATACCTACATTAATTAATGTCTGACTATAATAAGCAAACGGCCCCGCGCTTTTATTAAATTCGTGGTGTTTTTTTTTATTTTAAACACTGCAAACACATTATTTTAAACAAAACAAAAAATCATTTTTTTTTTTAATTAACCGGCACTGACTTGCTGATCCTCCCACGTGTGACCTAATTTTATCATGTCCGTGGGTTTTCATAAATTAGCATTTACATTTTGCATAAAAGTAATATTATCCTACCTTCCAATTTATTGCGCAAAAGATAATTTTGACCCGAAATCATGTTATTTTTTGTGTCGTTATTTGAAAACTTGTATTATAAACGAGTTTGTGTAAAATGGCCGTGAACGAATTTCATCAAAATCAAATAAAACAGGTGCTGAAAGGAACGTTTTATTGAAATATGATAATCCACGAGGCAATAAAATTATTTATATTTAAACAATTTTCGATTGAAGTAAATATTGTATTTCTTTAAAACTGTTCACGTTTGTGAAAATACACAGTATAGCAATTTATATAGGTACACATAATATTAAATATATTAGAAAAAACAAAAACGCAAGATAAATAAAAAAATATTTATGTAATATTTTTGATGACTCTAAAAGAAAAACTACCTTTATAATATTCCTAACCGATAAACATTTCTGCTCATTTTAGATTCTGAGCGGAGCGATGAATGTATTGGTTTTACAATGATGTATGTTTTTATATTTTTATATTTTTATATTTTTATATTTTTATTTATATTTTAGATTCTGAGCGGAGCGATGAATGTATTGGTTTTACAATGATGTATGTTTTTATATTTTTATATTTTTATATTTTTTTTTGTGTCTGTCATCACGTTTTGGGACAGTAAAAGTGCTTCGATTTTCTTCAATAGTACCTTTTATGATAGGAAAGTGAATCTAGTTGGTACTTTGGGGGGTCAAAAGTAAACATTTTCCAGTAGTTTTCACAAGCGCCGGGAAAAACAACATAAAAATTAAGGAAAAACGGGAATTTTTACGCAAAATCGATTTTCCAAAAAATCGAATTTGGTTTTTGGTGTAACTTTAAAACAAATGACCGTAAATACATGAAATTTTCACTGGTTGTTTATATTTGCATTTTCTATACACGATAACATTTTCAAAATATTTTGATTTATTTTGAACTGTTTAGGGACATTTTCATTTTTCATTTTTTTTTAGTTTTTTTTCTAGAAATATCAATAAAATTTAATTTGTTGGTTGCGAAAGCTTGAAAATTTAATAGAAGGCTCCTAATATGTTGTTTCAAAGGCAGATGAAAAATATTAAAAATCCTTAGTCACAATTTTTTTTTATAAGCATTTAAAGTTCAAAAATTTACAAAATATGGAAAAATCACGAAAATTAGCAAATTATTTTGAGTTAAGAATTCGTAAAAATTTTTCTTTTTAAATCTAAGATTTGAAAATGAAACACAAGATTCCTTATAAGATTATCTACCTTTATCAATAAAAAAATCTCTACCGGACAGTCAAGTTAAATTTTTATGAGCGTTTGAAATTCAAATTTTTACAACATTGGATATTCACTCGATTACTCATGTAGCGATTTCCTTATTTTGTTGCAATTCAAAGACGAACAACTGTAGATACATGAAAATTTCACCGAATGTTTAAATTAGCATTTTCTATACACCATACAATTTTGAAAATATTTTGACTCTTTTTGAGCTGTTTATGGACATTTACAGCTTTCAATTTTTTTTAGTTTTTTTTTCTATAAATATCAATAAAGTTTAATCTGTTGGGCCAAAAAGTGTAAAAATGTAATACAAGGCTCCTGATATATTGTTACAATAGCAGTTGAAAAATATTAAAAATACATAGGCACAGTTTTTTTTTATAAGCATTTAAAGATCAAATTTTGACAAAATTTATCAAAATCTCGAAAATTATCAATCATTGTAATTAATAAATTATAAAATGTTCAGTTTTTATAGCTAAGGATTGCAAATTCAACACAAAGGTTCTCGTAAATAGTTCATACTGTAACCAAAAAATCTAAAAAATATATGAACACACTTATTTTTTACAGACATTTTAAATTCAAATTTGGACGAAATTACATATTAAAAAACCTAGAATAACTATTTTAGTTATTTTGTTGTGATTGAATAATATTATTCGTGGGTACTTGAAACTTCTAAAGTGTACTATTATATTATATCTATGATAGTATCACGGTTTTTGTTGATGTATAACGCGTTATAAGTATCTAATGGATATTGTGATATGATTAATTTGGAATTTATTATAGGTACCTATTATAGGTCAATTTTTTGTTTAATACCATAGATATGTATATAATTTGTCTTAAACCTAGACTGACATACCGTCACCGCTCAGAATCGTTTTTCTTATGCAATGATATTATATCATTGAATTCAAATTTAATACCATCCATTATACAGTGACCCACTTGTAACCTACTGTACAGCAGAGCGACACCCACTTGCCCACCTTTTTGTGTCTGTCATCACGTTTTAGGACAGTAAAAGTGCTTGGATTTTCTTCATCAGTAGCTTTTCTGATAGGAAAGTGAATCTAGTTGGTACTTTGGGGGGTCAAAAGTATAAATTTCCCAGTAGTTTTCACAAGCGCCGGGAAAAACAACATAAAAATTAAGGAAAAACGGGAATTTTTACGCAAAATCGGTTTTTGACAAAATCGAATTTGGTTTTTGGTGTAACTTTTAAACAAATGAACGTAGATACATGAAATTTTCACTGGTTGTTTATATTTGCATTTTCTATACACGATAACATTTTCAAAATATTTTGATTTATTTTGAACTGTTTAGAGACATTTTCATTTTTCATTTTTTTTTAGTTTTTTTTCTAGAAATATCAATAAAATTTTATTTGTTGGTTGCGAAAGCTTGAAAATTTAATAGAAGGCTCCTAATATGTTGTTTCAAAGGCAGATGAAAAATATTAAAAATCCTTAGTCACAATTTTTTTTTATAAGCATTTAAAGTTCAAAAATTTACAAAATATGGAAAAATCACGAAAATTAGCAAATTATTTTGAGTTAAGAATTCGTAAAAATTTTTCTTTTTAAATCTAAGATTTGAAAATGAAACACAAGATTCCTTATAAGATTATCTACCTTTATCAATAAAAAAATCTCTACCGGACAGTCAAATTAAATTTTTATGAGCGTTTGAAATTCAAATTTTTACAACATTGGATTTTCACTCGATTACTCATGTAGCGATTTCCTTATTTTGTTGCAATTCAAAAACGAACAACTGTAGATACATGAAAATTTCACTGAATCTTTAAATTAGCATTTTCTATACACCATACAATTTTGAAAATATTTTGACTCTTTTTGAGCTGTTTATGGACATTTACAGCTTTCAATTTTTTTTAGTTTTTTTTTCTATAAATATCAATAAAGGTGTATCTGTTGGGCCAAAAAGTGTAAAAATTTAATACAAGGCTCCTGATATATTGTTACAATAGCAGTTGAAAAATATTAAAAATACATAGGCATGATTTTTTTTTATAACCATTTAAAGTTGGAATTTTGACAAAATTTATCAAAATCTCGAAAATTATAAAATGTTCAGTTTTTATAACTAAGAGTTGAAAATTTAAAACAAAGATTCTCTTAAATAATTCATACTTTAACCAAAAAATCTAAAAAATATATAAACACACTTATTTTTTACAGACATTTTAATTTCAAATTTAGACAAAATTTCATATTTAAACCAAGAATTACGATTTTAGCTCGTATTTTGTTGTGATTGAATAATATTATTCGTGGGTACTTGAAACTTCTAAAGTGTACTATTATATTATATCTATGATAGTATCACGGTTTTTGTTGATGTATAACGCGTTATAAGTATCTAATGGATATTGTGATATGATTAATTTGGAATTTATTATAGGTACCTATTATAGGTCAATTTTTTGTTTAATACCATAGATATGTATATAATTTGTCTTAAACCTAGACTGACATACCGTCACCGCTCAGAATCGTTTTTCTTATACAATGATATTATATCATTGAATTCAAATTTAATACCATCCATTATACAGTGACCCACTTGTAACCTACTGTACAGCAGAGCGACACCCACTTGCCCACCTTTTTGTTTATATCTTTCATATGAATCTTTATTTTGGGAAGTAAATTATTATTATTTGAAATTGTTTATACTACTTATTTTACTCACGGATTAAACTAATATAATATACTTGTTGCTTTTGGATTTTTTTTGTAGGGAATCATAAAAGGTATTTTTATTGAAAGCACTTGTTTCAGATTAATATTTGATTTTTAACATTCTAGTCTAATCAATTATAGCAAAGTTGATATATATACCTATCGATATAATGTTACAAATATCTTATGGGGATGGGTGGCGGACAGTTATTTTAGCTGAAATATACAAATCTTTCTTCTAGTATACTGATCGATCTAGTGCTACGCTTTAAAACTGATTTATATTCTTTATTATGTCTACTAGAGATCGGTTAGTCCGATTTCCCAAATTTCACCCCCCCCCTCCGATACTATTAATTTAGTTTGAAATTTCTGAATTTAAATCAGAAAACTTAAAATGTGGACTGACCCATCTCAACTAGACATTATAACGAATTCAGATCAGTATTCTGAAATATTATCGCATTATTAGATCGATCGGTAGGATGGAAAAAAGTTCTTACAACTGAACATAAATATTGTTTACTGTTCACTCGCGCAACGCCGAGGTAGGGACTTGTACATACACGTGCCGGAGAGTTCCGCTATTTGTTTTACACACACTAATAATCACTTACTACGCACACACTTACACATTCACATTTTTAATATTATTATAATATTCTATAATAGTTGCAAATGGTTTAAATAATTATTTTTAATGTGTTACACAGACTAGGTCGATGAATCGTTTCCCGGCGGCTCACCATCGGGATCTGCACTATGACTACCATTCGTCGCATCCCAACCTGCACGACATGTCGGGCATCAACATGGGTCGGTTGTACAACAGTCATGAGTACCTGCCGAACGATTACCGCCGATACAACCACTACTACCATCACCGGGAAACGCCACCGTGCTCGTCGCCCGAATGATTTTATTTCGCGTCATCGTCGTCATCATCGTCGTCGTCGTCTTTCCCGCGTGTTCGTATCGTTCCCGTTTCGCGGCCTCCGGGCCGTCGTCACCCGAATAAATCGTAAAAATAAAATCCATAAAAAATAAATAAATCTTCCGAAATCATTCTTCCGCGCGCGAGCGCGTCTAGGACTTAGGAGGCGGCTATGGCGGCGGTGGCAGTGTCGGAGGTGGCAGGCGGTTAGGTCATATAAAGCGCCCCCCTCCCCCCCGACTACTAGGGGATTTCACCCGCCCATGACTCTGACCGCCCCCACGACTTTGGCGGCGGCGGATATCGAACGAACGACCGCGACAGACCGACCGAACGGCGGCGAACCGAAAATCCGCTCGCAGAACGACGTGGGCACAATTGCACGCAGTGTTATTATAAGTACACTGTGATATAATTATTATACCATATCGTCTTTACGGCGTACAACAACTGTCTCCGCGTATTTATAATAATATACTGACTACGACCAATATTTACAAGTAGGTAGGTGTATATATATAATTATTATATTATGTTATACATACCTATTACCTATTTATATCAATGTTCGCGAGTTTCATATCGTTCCGCTCTCGAATTTATCTCACACGCCGCGCCACCGCCATCTCGGACCCTCCCCCCTTTTCGACGCCACCCTCGCGTATCCCGCACTCAACCACTTTGGCCTACTTTTCGACAACCGTCGCCGTCGTCCCCGGAAATACCGCTCACCGGGCGCTCAGCCTGTTTTCGAATATATACGTTTTTGTGCTAGCACGTTCTCATCATTATTTTTTACTTTATTAAATACATTATATTATATTATAAAAAAAAAAAAACCATTACCATTATTATTATTATTATTATTATTATTATTATTATTATTATTGTATGTCTATTATATTGTGTCCATGATTTACGTTTTTTGTGAAACATCAAAGTAAAACATCTATATCTATAAACACTTGAATCCAATCTATAATGCTCGTATTTTGTTTTTGATTTTCGACGTAGATCGATATGTTAGCGTAAGTACAACAGTACCTAAAATATACGTATGTGAGTACCTCCTATAATAATATATACCTACGGCGGTTGCCGACCGTCATGACCCACAGCGTGAACACTCACCTGCGGCCTTTATACAGTTATACTACATATATATTCACTGGTCCTGGCATCGGTCGAAAGTTTTCGGAGCTTTTGAGGACGCTGAGAAAAAGAGATATTATATTATATAAGTAGTGACCTATTCGTAGAACACCCCGTATTACCTATATATATATATATACAACATGGTATACCTGCCCCACAACTTTCGAAAAGTTCTGCGCCCGAAATTCACGGAGAAACGACGAGGAAGAAAACCGATACCAACGAGTTCAGCGCCTGCTGCTCGCATGTATAAGCGTATTATTATTATAAAAGTACCACAAGGATATTCAAAATGAATCATCTGTGACGCTTTACACCACCTGGCTTCCTAGGTCGCCTGATCTTACGCCATATTACTACTGCTTCTTTTGGAGATATTATGTTAAGGATAATGTGTAGGTACCACCCCATATTGCCATCGGCCACAGAGGAGCTATGCAATTAGTGGATTCGATATTATAAAGGCTTGTTATTGGCATTAAATGATTATTTGCGTTCCGACTAGATGGGTTCAGGCCTTCAGGGTGTATAAGTGTGTTCGAGGGAAGCCACATAGAACATTTATAATTATCATTTTACGATTATCGTATTTAGAGTATAATAGGCTGAGCGTGTGTTACTTGAGTCCCGTGAGATTGTGGATGAGAATTTCTAATATGTATTAACAGCAGGTAAGACGCGTCCCAAACAAATATTTCACATCGAAATTAAACAGTGTCAATATAATTTGACATCTATAATGTAATAAATTAAGAAAATACCTTGTTACAACATAGTGGAGGTGATATTTTACAGGTGTAAGTGTGTAACCAGTGTACCTTTGAAGTTTGTAGTTTCATACTTCGCAGTCGACATCTTAGGTACACATGTTATAACTTATAGTTGTATGCGCACTACTTGATAAATTAAAATAGAAACTCAAATGTACAGTTTATTTATTTAAATAAAAATGTCATCGTTTCGAGTTAAATTCGTTTTTTATCATTCACGCCCTAATATTTTTGTGTTTAGTTAAGTAGGTACTAAAAGAATTTCAAATTAATGGATATTAATAATAATAATATGTTCTTACAAGAAGTTCGATTAAACAAAAGATAAAAAAAAAACTTGTTAGTGGATGTGGCACTGCTGTACAGTAGAATACAAATGGGTGACTGTAACAGAAGGTGTTAAATTTGAATTCAATGATATTATATTATACGTCAGTGATAACGAAAAACGATTCTAAGCGGAGAAGGTTCGTCGACCTAGAATATTTATATTTATATTTTTATTAATTATTATTATTTGATTGATATTTATTTTAGTTGAATCATTATTATTTGATTATCATCATATTTGTATACAATAATATACTTTAGAAATTTTAAGTACCCACGAATAACTGTTTTAAAATATATAATACAAAACTAAAATCATTCTTTTTCGTTTAAATAGGTATTTAATGTTGTCCAAATCTGAACATGAAATAACTTTAAAAAAATTATTTTTAATTTTTTTAGATTTTTTGGTTACATAATAACCGTTTTACGTGAAACCTTGTTTAACATTTTCAATCCATAGCTATAAAAATTGAACCTTTTATAAATTTTTAACTAGAAAATCATTTTTTAATTTTTTAATTGATACATTTTGTCACAATTTGAACTTTGAATGCTTATAAAAAAAATTGTGCCATTGTATTTTTAATATTTTTCAATTGCTGTTTCAATTTTTCACTTGCTAACAATATATCAAGAGCCTTGTATTACATTTTGACGCTTTTTAGCCCAACAAATAAAATCTTATTGATATTTTATTGATATATTTTTATATTCTGAGTGGAACGATGAATGTATTGATTTTACAATGATGTGTGTTTTTTTTTTTTATTAATTTTTTTTGTGTCTGTCATCACCTTTTAGGACTTAAAAGTGCTTGGATTTTCTTTAACAGTATCTTTTCTGACAGGAAAGTGGATCTAGTTGGTACTTTATGGGTCCAAAGTAAAATTTTTCCAGTAGTTTTCAAAAGCGCCGTGAAAAACAAAAGAAAAATTAAGGAAAAAAGGGAATTTTTACACAAAATCTGTCTTCGAAAAAATTAGTTTTGGTTTTTGGTATAACTCTTAAAGAAATTACCATAGGAACATTAAATTTTGACTGAATGTTTTTATTAGCATTTTATATACACCATAACATTTTCCAAATATTTTGATTTATTTTGAGCTCTTTACAGACATTTTCAGTTTCCATTATTTTTAGTTTTTTTTGCCATAAATATCGATAAAATATTATTTGTTGGATATAATGCTTGAAAATTTAATAGAAGTCTTCAAGTATATTGTTTCAAAGGCAGATGAAAAAAATTAAAAATCCTTAGTTACAATTTTTTTTTATAAGCATTTAATGTTCAAATATTGACAAAATATGGAAAAATCACGAACATTTGCAAATTATTTGGAGTTAGGAATTCATAAAAAAAATTTTTCTTAAATCTAAAATTTGTCTACCTTTATCAAAAAAAAAATGTCTACAAGAAACTCAAATTAAATTTTTATGAGCATTTGAAATTCATATTTTTACAACATTTGATATTCACTGGATTTCTCATGTAACGATTTTCTTATTTTGTTGTAATTTAAAAACGAATGCCTGTAGATACTTGAAAAATTCACTGAATGTTTATAATAGCATTTCCTATACACCATACAATTTTGAAAATATTTTGACTCTTATTGAGCTATTTACGGACATTTTCAGTTTTTTTTTCTATAAATATCAATAAAGTTTTATCTGTTGGGCCAAAAAGTGTAAAAATTGAATGCAAGGTTCCTGATATATTGTTACAGTATCAGTTGAAAAATATTAAAAATACATAGGCACAATTTTTTTTTATGATCATTTAAAGATCGAATTTTGACAAAATTTATCAAATTTAAAATTTAATAATTATTTTGTAGTTAAAAATTTATAAAATGTTCAAATTTTATATCTAAGGATTGAAAATTTAAAACAAGATTCCACGTAAATAGTTAATTCTGTTACCAAAAAATCTAGAAAATACATAAGCACAGTTTATTTTTATAGTCATTTTAAGTTCAAATTAAGTTCAAAAACGAAATTGTTGTGGTTGTATAATATTATTCGTGGGTACTTGAAACTTCTAATGTACACTATTATAATATATTATCTATGATAGTATCAGGGTTTGTTGTTGATGTATATTGCGTTATAAGTACCTACCTAATGGATATTGTGATATGATTAATTTTTAATTTAGTTTAGGTACCTATTATAGGACAATTTTTTTTTTAATACCATATATAAGTATATAGTATGTCTTATACCTAGAGTGACATACCGTCTCCGCTTAGAATCGTTTTTTCTGATACAATGATATTATATCATTGAATTCAAATTTAATACCATCCATTATACAGTGACCCACTTGTAACCTACTGTACAGCAGAGCACCTCTTTTTAATTAAAGTAGATAACCTTATAAAGAATCATGTATTAGGTACATTTTAAAATCTTAGATTTAAAAAGAGACATATTTAGGAATTTATAACTCAAAATAATTTACACATTTTCGTGATTTATACGCCTTTTGTCAAAATTCTAACTTTAAATGCATTTATGGGTACCCGGCGTTTTTCCCGAATCGAAATTTTCGAATGAACTTTTCCCGAATGGTAGTTTGCCCAAAAATCCGAAAACCTGAAACCTTTTTTCCCGAAAGTTATTGTTCCCGAAATAAAAAATTCCAAAATTTAATTAACAGCATATTGTGTGGCAATGGCGGAAAGTGAGCTATTTCAGTCGCGGACCACGGCCAGCGGGCGAC